GCCGTCAACAAATACTCGTCATGGCTGCATAGCCCTCTGCGAGTGTGTGCGTGCGTGTGTGTGTGTGTGTGTGAGTTGTGTGTGCTACGGGTGTTTGCCATATTCAATTTCAAGTGTTTCAGTTTTCAGTTAAGGTTTTTACATTTCGCTCTGGAAACCCACACAGCAAGGTCAGAGTTTTATTAATTGCCTCGAGCCAAGCCGTTTTACATGCTACAGTTTTTGTCCATCTTTACAGGCAATTAACGCTGTTTCCCGCGCACAAAACACTTTCCTATGTGTGTTGCAACCGACTTGTGAAAGTGGCTTAACAAACCAAAAAAAAAAAAAACACACACATACACACACACACACACAAAACGTCAAAAATTTGCATGCCAATGTTCGTTCGTCTCGATTGTGGACCATCAAAAACCAGCCCAGCCCAACAACCCACCGCCCCACCACACCACCGCTCACGTGCGCCACTCTAATTGACACAAATTCCATGACAAACAAAATACCACTTTTTTTTTTTTTTTGCGTGCATAAAAATGCGAGAGACCAGCTAGGTTGGACATATCCCAGACAGCAAACGCACCCACCCAGACAGACAGAGCTGGGCCCATGGCGCCGTCTGGACACAGTGGTGCGAGCCCCAGAAAATCTATAATGTGTGTCATTATTATAGACTATAATTGGGGTAAATAAAACATTATTAGAACTTATTTTCTTCAAGCGAAGAGTTACAAAAAAAATAGTTCGAATGCAGTTCTTTTGGGTTATGCTGACTCCAGGATAAAAAGAAATATTCAGTTCAATTAATCTATTAGAAAACAATTTTTTTTTTTGAGAAACGAAAAATAAAACAAATGATTACAAACTAAATATCTTAAAGTTGTTCAAAAATTGTATTTAGTTCAATCAAAAAAAAAAAAATAAGAGATAGCATATGTTTGTATTATTTTTTTCATGTTAACTCGGAGACTAAATCGAAAATTTAAATACAAATTTTTTGGCATATTTATTGAAATATTTGCCCCAAGCCATTAGTCAATATTTTGGATTTAATTATTTGAAATGTTTATTGAATTATTTATGGTGCCAAGCTCTTCACCACATACATATATATATATATATATATATATATGTATGTGAATACGTATGTATACGCAGGAAAGTTAAAGAACTCATTCTTATATTATTAAATCTTTATATGTATATGTATTCATAAATTTCAGTAATAGTACATAGATGAAATGCAATTTTCACAGAAGATTTCGTTTGTGTCGAAAGTGGAATCTGAAGAACGCTATATTGGAAAATAAGATATCCTAATAAAGGAATAGCTGAACAATTCATCGGAACAGCAAGCGGAAAGACGCTGGTTTAAATTCACACTATAAAATGGAGTATAATATTAACTCCTTTTGATTCAACACTTTTTTAATTTCGGCAATAAATAAAGCCCAGAAACACTGTGCCTGATTGTTATTCGGGCCTATTGTAGATCAAGCCAAAACTCACGACGTCTTGCAAAGCTGAGTGACATAAATCCATGGCACAATTTATGCATAGCACGTTGGGGTGTGCGCGCGTGTGCATCTGCCTAGTTACATAGCTAACACACACACACACACACACACACACACACACACACACACACAAACACACACACAGACGCACATCCATGAGATACTTTTCTAGGCCTGCCTGCAATTCTGATTCTATGTCAGACGACGACGCCGACGCCGACGACACGGCTTCGCCTGCCAGACACGCAGTTCAAGTTGATGTTGTAGTGAAATGAATTTCTGGTTTTAGCGGCCATAAAAATCACAAGCTGTGTAGCATCCAGTCGGATGCTCACATGTATATAGATAGTATAGCACTTTCTTCGTCTAATTATGCAGCTGTTCTATGCTGCGTTTTATGTGTTAATTTAATTATAATAAAACCCAAATTAACCTGCTCTGTACTTTGTATCAATGTCTATGTTGAAAATTTCTTTTTCATTTGCTGCGGTTCGTTAAGTTTTCACTTGGTGGAGCAGGCCAGGGACTGGGGCTTAAAGTCGAGGCTGTCTTCAGCGGTGAGTTGCCCATTAAATGCAATGAATCATGACTCTTGGAGCGCAGCTAATGGCCAGTCAATGCATTGGGCCAGAGTTTAAAAATAATAACACATAAACCAAGTGCCAAAAAGAACACAAAGAACACAACAAGAACAAGTTCTCGGCCAGAGTTGCAGCCACACCCGTTTTTGAAAAGGCAACGAATGTTGGCTAGACAAAGCTGGCAGCAGAATCACCGTCAGCACCACCGCCAGCCCCACCGCCAGCACCACCCGCCGCGTTGGCTAAAAGCCACCACAAAGCAATAAACTGACAATCAATTCGACTTAAGTCCCTTTGCTGCTGCGCCTTTGACTTTGTGGCCACAAGTTTGTGTCTTAAGTCTTTCGTTTTCAAATCGAAATTGTTTGGAATTGAAACGCACTCAGATCTGATTGCGGCATCGGCCTGCTTTTAAAGATTGTTTTTTTTTTCTTCTTTTAGGCAACAAATCATCAGGCAGCACCGTTAATAGCTATGAGAAATACTGTTAACTAATTTACGCCGCAGAGAAAAACAAAAATAAAAAAAAAAACAACAATAAGAGGAAGAGAGCCACACAAACTAACGAGTCACCAGGCGAAGCAAGCATAAGAACCAGAAATCTTTGGGCTCTGATAGCAAAAAGGTATTCAATGAAACGGCCAGCTAACGGTAGAACATGGCACCTGTAATTAGGTGTGAACTACTAGAGGTCGCCAAAAATTTGTGTCCACAATTTATATGGCTGAGAATTGTGCCAATGTCTTGACAGAAGAAGTGCGCCTTATCAAATGATTTGGCCGTGCCAACAAGTTAAGCATCACAATTTTGAAAGTGATTGTTTGGTAAAAAGAAAATTGAATGTGAAAGTTGCTGTGCCGTTCGCCAATTTTTTGAAATTCTTCTTGGCAACGAGCACGGTATAAAGCGCAACAGATAAATGTCCAAAGATAAAGATAAACGATGGCTGCTTTTTTGAGCACTTAGAAAAGGTTCAAAACTGGCCACACAAACAGCAGGCTGCTCAATATAGATTTGCATGTGCCGAGACTTCAATATACGGCAGATACCACAAATATGCAACAGCAACAAAAACAACTGCAGCAGCAGCAGCGGCAGCGGCAGCAGAGAGGAAATGCCAAGACGCAAGACAAACAATGAGCGGCGCACGCAGCCAAGAACTCAGCGAGTCAGCGAGCGAAACAAACAAACAGAAACTTGTATCTGTAAGATACACAGCTCACACAGCTATAGATGCACACACACACACACAGTCAAACGCATAACTTTGGCGCTGACTATGGCCACAGAGCGCCCTAAGCGCGCAAAAGAACTTTTGAGCCGAATGGAAACACAAAATAAAAACAAGAAAGAACAGCTAGCAGCTTCGGCATGCCGAAGTTTGAATACTCTTTTAGACATGTGCGAAGAATTGTGAAGCTAAGTAGTAATTGCTGAGTTTGGTCAACATATTTGGAAAATCAAATAAGTTTTCCAATTTGGCATTTCACAAACGTTTCTTAATATAGAGCTATATGATATGTTAATCCGATTTGTTACATTTTTGAAAATGTAAAAATACACAGTTTGTTAAAGATTAGTTTATTGAAAAAAAAATATATTATTTGTTTATTTAAAACATTCTATACTGCCTGCAAAGTCTTACGAAGTTGGCTTTAAATGTGTTGAACAGACGGACAAGGCCTTAAAGACTCGTCTGTTGTTGCCGATCAAGAATATATATAGACACTTTATGGGGTTGGAAAAAAAGGCCTTTCATGCGTAACACATTTTATGAGAATTCAAAAATACCCTCGACAAGAGTATTAAAAAAAAAAAAAAGAGAAGTTGAAGCAGTGGAAATGGTGGAAACTACGATAGACGCTGGCTAAAGAACGAGCCAACAACGTTTGCTAGACAAAACTTGCTTGTGGGATCTTTGACCTGCAATGGCGACGACCGCAGAGCGGCCAAGAAATCAACAACGTGGAGCAGGAGCAAAGCGCCCGTCAACGCCTCGGCTGAGCCATATAGATACACACACGTACACACACATGGGTGTATCTATTTTAGAGCTGGCAAGTGTTGCTTGCTTGGCTTGGGTTGTATTTAATAAAAATTAACAGTTGTACAAACTTTAATGGACAACAAAAAGCGCCACGAAATGCAAATTGCGAGCGACCAAAAGATACATTTGTATCTCAAAGTACTTACCAAGCTGTATTTGCTTATTGCTGCTTGTTGTATTTAGCCAAAGTTGTTGTTGTAGTTGTTGTAGCACACTGTGCATATTCCATAAATACACAGGCAACACGCACGCACACACGCACACGCACAGTTTTGCGTTTCTTATTGGACAATTTTATGTGGTGTGGCCGAAAACAAATGCCGCTATTTGCAAACTGATTTGTCACACACACAGGCCGCGGCTCAGAAACCACATTTGCATGCACTTGCACATTGCCATTAATAAATAAACATATATATATATATATATTTGTATTTGAATATATATAGATATTAATATTGCTACCGCATCTATTACGCTAGTTACGCCGTCAACATTTCAATTTGATTTTCAAGCGCGTAGTCTTTGTTTGTTTTTTTCTTATTAATAATAATTCGTATTGCCAATTTTATGTTATTTTTTGTTCACTTTATTTTGCGCTGAGCCAACAGACGTGCACAGCTCAGACAGCGGCGCAGTGGACAACTCTCTCGGTGCTCTGCTCAAACCGTACTGAGCTGAACTTGGCCTCGGACGCCATCTTAGCCAGTTGCGCGCTGCATTGGAATGTGTGTATGTGTATGCGCGTTCGCGTCTGGAAGCGCAGAGAGCGCAACGCATTCCACTTGCCAGCGCTTATGATTCCAATTGGAATTGTCTTGTGGCTTGTGTGCGGATCAGCGACAGCTTCAGTTGGAATTGTGCGCTCAATTGGTTTAGACGTGTGCACGGTTATTATTATATTTTTTTTTTGGTGTGTTGCATTTTTTAAAAACATGACATTACTAATATAATAAAATAAATATTAATTTAAAATGCATTTTGATAAGTGCATAGTTTTGAATATTCGAATAAATCTATTCGAATATATGAATTATATTTAAAGATTCTTATACAGCTCGCTCTCTCCCAATCTGTCAATCTTCCTCTCTTCCTTGCTTTCTCTCTCTTGGCTCACAACTCAACACTCATGCCAGTGTTGTGCACTGTTTACTTCCAGCCACTGCGAGTTCTTTGAGCCGCTCTTCAACGGCGTACAGCGTGTGAGGCATAGAGCAGAAGAACAACAAACAAAGCTGTTTCTGAAGAGTTATTTTCGTTTTTGGCTATGAAAATGATTGGCAGCGATTACGTACTGGAAGCACACAACATATTCCACACCACCGAGGCAAGTGTACTGGAAGTGGTTAGAGCTAAAATTCCAATTGAAGTCTTTTGTTTTGGGTCCGCTCTCTTGTGCGCTCTCTTTCCAGGTTGACGGTGGTGGCTGCTTCAATGGTGCCGGCAACTCGGCGCTGGTGCTCAAAGGCGTCAACCTTACCGTGCACAGTGGTGAGGTGATGGCCATTCTGGGCTCCAAGGGTAGGCAGCTCGACTACATAACGTAAGGTGCCGACTTTAAGGCATTCTGTATTTTTTTAGGGAGCGGCAAACGCGCATTGCTAGACGTCATAGCCAGGCGCGCAGATGGCGCCACTCGTGGTCAGGTGCTGCTCAATGGATCGCCGCTGAGCAAGGCGCTGTTCCAGCAACGCTGCGGCTATGTAACCCAATCCTGCACCTTTGTGCCCGGCCTGACAGTGGCCCAGACACTACACTATACGCCCACCATTGTAGGTGCAGACCTTATCCTTGAGTTTTCATGACTTAAAGCTGTTGCTTCTTTGCAGCTGGGTGGATATTTGAAGAGCTCCAAGGTGCGTCAGGTGCTGGCAGATCTGGCGCTCTCGCAGGTGGCCCACAAGCGTGTGGAGTACCTGAACATCAGCGAGGCCAGACGCCTGGCCATTGGCATACAGCTGGTCCGAGATCCGGGTGAGTCATCTAATCCTAATCTAGTCATGCACAGCCGGTTTTATTCAGCATGAACTACTTTCAGTCATGCTGCTGCTGGATGAGCCCACGCAGGGCCTGGATCCATTGAGCGCCTATCTGCTCATCTCCATACTCTCGAATACGGCCAAGAAGACGGGCTGCGGCATTTTGTTGTCGCTGGAGAAGCCACGCTCCGATGTCTTTCCCTTTTTGGATCGTGCGCTGTTTTTGTGCCTGGGCGGAGTTGTCTACTCGGGCGGCACTCGAGCCATGTTGGAGTACTTTCATGCCATTGGTTTTCCCTGTCCCCAGTTGGAGAATCCGCTCATGTATTATCTGTGCCTCTCCACTGTGGATCGTCGCAGTCGCGATCGTTTTCTAGAGTCCAGCCAACAGATTGAGGCGCTCGTGGAGCGCTTCTCCAGAGAAACACCCATTTCCGATGCCTCGCTGAACAACATGGGCTCGGGCAAGGTTCCACTGGCCTATGGCAAGCCCGGTGAACTCAAAGTTTGGATCATGCTCTATTTGTAAGCAATCAAACTGGCGCATCTTTAAGGTATTCTTCTGGAACAATTAGTTCTTATTTGTTTTGCTTTTTAGAAAACTCCTGGCCTCCACCTTTTCGTGTGGTGTGGTCGGTATGAAGACGCTCTTCCTCCGTTTGCTGGTCCTGCCCATAGCCATGGCCATATTGTGGGCCTTCTACACGAATCTCGGCGTGGGTGTTCGTATATATCTCGGGTTAATCTCAGCTTAATAACATGTATTGAATCTTATAGGATGATGCGAGTGGCTTCTTTACCCGAAATGGCTTGATACTGAATATACTTGGTCTGTCCTATGGCTGCGGCATTTTGGCCACCATATCTTTATGTAAGCTATATATAAGCTAATCTTTGGTTTCCCAGTTCAAATTCTTCGTCTTGCAGTTCCCATTTGGCGCAAAAAGTTCTCCCAGGATACACCGGAGGGTCTCTATTCGGGCACCACGCTGCTCGTTGCCTACAATTCCGTTTCCATACCCTTCTCAGCGGTCTCTGCAGTCTTGGCGAGCTGTGTTGTCTACCCGTAAGTGCAGATTTTATGATCTCTCCTATATCTTAGTCTATACATATTGAATATTCTTTTCATTCTACATCAATTCGCAGCTTGCTACTGGATACCAAGTTCAATAATGGCACCGTTTTTGCCTATCTCTTTGTGGCACTATGGTCCAGCTTTGTCCTGGCCGAACAGATGAGCATATCGTTTCTGCTGGTGGTGAAGGTGCCCTTCAATGCAGCCATTGCAGTGACCTATGTGCTGGTCATAAGCATTGCCTTAGCCAGTGGCACCGTGCGGCAAGTTGCAAGATTACCGTCACCGTCAGAATATACATTTAATATTACTTGATTCTACAGCTCCTTTAAGGGCTTGCAGCCCTGGCTGCAGGACAACACTAAGGGCACGCACACACGTTACGCCTCCTCGCTGCTGCACAGCATCGCCTTTCAGACGCGCAAGCTGAACTGCACGCCCACCGCCTCCGTGATTTGCCCCAAGCCAGCGGACTTTATGCACGAACGCTTGGGCCTGCCCGATCCAGATGTGAGTTAACTATATGACGTATATATTCATCTATAAGTTTATTGTCATCCTGCAGGAAACTATTGATGTGGCTGCGTCCTGCGCTTTTGCTGTGGGCTTGGCTGCCTTCAATATGCTGCTTTATTTATTCCCAATGCCGCGCTGCGTGCGTCAGAAATTTAAAGACTAAGCGCCGCAATTTTAACTGCATTGCACACATTTTAACTAATTTAATTTATATGCTTTAAGATAAACTAAACTAAAATTTATTTAAAAACACAAAAACAAGCCTTTTCAAACTTGCGCGCTAAAAGGGCTGCATCCGCGTATTTGATTTGCCAGCTACGGCTTCGATACCAATATTTCAGAGCAAGCATCGATATGCCAGGGCTGCAGAGTAGCAATTATTCAGACAAAGAATCGATTACGATAGTTTCTACACATTTAGCGCGCTTTCATTGAGCATTTAAAAATTATTCGTTAGTTATTTCGCAACGGCAGCAAGCACTTATCGAAACAAAATATTATTTATCATTTTATTTACAAGAAAACTTAAAATTAATACAAATTTCGCAATACAATACAATCGAAAATCATTACAAATACAAATTGTTGAATAGAAATATTTTGTTTACATTTAGTTGGCTCCAGGTCGAAAAGTATTTGTTTTTCTTGAATATTTTTCTGTGTTTCGCTTCGTTTCAGTTTAACAATTGTCTAACGACTAAAAATATGTTTGTTTTATTTAAATAACTAGATACACGCATGGAAATTCATTAGAACGCATCTGATTGAATGAATGTACGCGAGTGTTATTGGGTAATCGAGGGCTGTGCGAGCAGCCGAAGGCAATGAAAAATTTGACCAATCGTTGAAAATGGGTAATTTTCTTTCTACTTCTTCATTTTTTGTTGTTTTTATAAAATACTGTGGCACCTATATTATTGCTGCTGGAGAGGATTGGGATGTTTAGTTGATGCATGCTTTTATGCTATGAACATTGTTTAGTTTATGATGAAGGAATTCAAAACATGGAGCTTGCAGTTTAATGTGTGGGCTGGTCCGGAACTGTAGCTCAGTCCGTGTCATAGTAGGCATAGTCGTAGCTGGTATCCTCATCGGCATGTGGAGGCCGTTTGGATTTGCTTTTCTTATCCTCCTTTTTGCTCTTCGCTGATTTCTTAAGCTCCAAGGCGGAGCTCGTGGTTGGCCTTATAGTTGTTGTTGTCGTTGTGGTTGTGGTTGTTGTGGGGCGTCTTGTTGTGCTCGTTGTGGTTGTGGTTGTGGTTGTTGGGCTGCTGCTCGTCTGTGCGGTCGTCTTCGGACTAGATGGCGCCAGCTGTGGACTGTACTGCGAGTTATACTGCTGTGATGTCTTCTCCGCCTTGTAGATGTCAGCGCGTAGCTTGTTAATGCTGGCAGCGCCAAAGTTGAGCGATTGCGCCGTCTTGAAGAGCTCATCCTCGTCGCTCAGATCCGATTGTTCCTGCTCGCGCTCCTTCTGATACGCCGACTGCTGCTGGCTCCTCAGATGGCTGTGCGCCTGATGAAAGCCATGTGGCTGCCGGCTCACTGCCGGAGCGCTGGTCGTGCTTGTTGTGGTGCCAGAGCTGGTGGATCTGTTGCGCAGAAACTTGAAACGATTGCGCGGAAAATCATTCTCATATAGCTCCGGATGGTATTGGCCATCATCTTCATCCACATTGTAGTACGGATTGGCCGTGGTGGTCGGTACCGACTGCGGCGTCACAGCGGATGTCTTCTTGGGACTCGCACTCTGGCTGGGACGCAACGTTTGCGGTGCCTGATAATAGTTCGTCTCGTAGGGCTTCTTGTATGTGGTGGGCTTAAAGGTGGTGGGCGTGTAGGCTTGCGTAGACAACTTCTTGCTGGGATTTGCCGTCGTGCTGGTGGTTGTCGGGTAATAGAACTCATCGTCGGCATAGCGTTGCGTGGTGGCCTTGTAGGTGATGCTGCCGCGGCTGGTGAAGGTGCGCGGTTTGGCAGCTGACGAGGACTTAAACGGCGCCGGCTCCTGACTGCCCACGCGCGTCAACTGTTGACCGTTCGCACGCGGCCGCTGATACTGTGGCTCCAGCTGGGCGGGCTTGCGGGTGGCACCTGATGTGGCCTGGAAAGGCTGGGGCTGCTGCAGCTTCGCCTTGGGCAGCTCGGCAAATTCGTTGTGATTTATGTAGTTGGACTCCTGTGGGCCTAGTTTTTGCTTGCGCGCCGCCACCGTGGGCTTATTATGACGCCTGGTCGTCTCCTTGTCAAAGTCCTGAGCATTCTTGCCCGTTAGCTTGGTCGAGCTGGCCGGTAGTTCCGTGCTCTTGAAGCGATATCCATTGTTCGGATTATACGTGGTCGGCTGTATACGCTCCTGGGTTTGATAGTCGTTCAGTCCAAAACTAAACCGGCTGGTAATGCCGCTGCCCAGACGTGGTGTGGTGCCCGCCGTGGGCGCCACGCTGCTGGGCGTACTCGATTTAGGGTGTTGCGTGTAGTCCGGGAAGCCTGTATTGTAGGCGGCATGCAGCGTTATCTTCTTTAGGGATTTACTGGTAGGTGCACTTGTGCTGCTAGTGGTTGTTGTTGTTGCTGTGAATGCGGGTATCTGACTGCTGGTACGCTGTGCCCGCGTGGGCGTGGCACGCGTCTTGCTGGCCGCCTCCGTGGTCTTGCGACTATAATCGTTGAAATCGTTGGGTCTGGAACGCGCAACCACAGCCGGCTCCTCGTCAAATTCGCGACCGCCATGGCGATTGGCAAAGAAGTGCGAGCTGTGGGAACCCTTGAAGATATCATCGATGTCTTCTGTGGCGGGAAAAAAAAGCAGATGCAGAGACAAGCGCGTGATTAATTTGTGTAATAAATTTGAAGATTCCATTGTTTGGATGGCTTACGCTTCGAATCATCGTTGTTGTTGTTGTAGTTGTTGTTGTTGTAGTTGTTGTTGTAGTAGCTGCGCTCGGTGCTGGTTGTTGTTGTCGTTGTTGTTGTCGTGGGTGTATAATAGCTGGTGATGGGTCGCCTGGATGTTTGCGTGCTGTCCGCACTGCCACTGGACGCTGTTTGCCCATAATTATGTCTGGGGCGCGACTTTTGATCGCCGCGATTCTCCTTGGAGCGACGCACATCACCTGCAATCAGGTCAAATGTTTATAATGGATGCGAAAAATAAATAATATATTATAATTGGATAATTATGTCTGAGCATATTGCTGACCACTTTCGGCGCGCTGCAAATGGAAGGTGCCCTCCTCTTCCTCGCCCTGGTTGGGGCTCTTGCTCTCCTCGCCGCCGCGATATAAATCGTTTAGATTGTTGCCATCATAATATGCCGGTGCCTTGTCACAGTCGACGTCCGCCCAGTTGGCGCAGATCTGTAGCTCCTGATCGAAGGCAGTGCTATTTGGGCAGAGGAAGCGATAGTCCTGCACCTGTTGGACAAACGAATTAACTCTTCGATGTGAGAGCTGCGCAAACAGTAAACGGCATTAACAGCATTAACAGCGTAAGCACATAACCAGATCAACATGCAAAATTCAATTTAATAAGTGGGCAAAATTAGTTTCAAGCGGTTTTTTGTTTCTTTTTTCTTTAGGTTATTGAGAAAACCAGCAACAACCACAACAACAGCAACAACAACAACAACAACAGCAAAAGCGGTCACAAATTGCGTGAGAATCTATAAATTGTTCTCTTCTCTTCACATAAAATGCAGAATATAGAGAGATCTTATATAAATTGAAGAATAGGTCAGCAAATCCCAACATCTATAAATTGTATATAATTAAAAAATTGAATACTGTTTCACTTATTCTTTTTTAAACCTGTCCAAAACAAGTTTTCATTTGTTTTCCCTAAACCCTTCAATGTGTTATGTGCCGAACCAAATTTAATCCCATCTTAACAAACTCTATACAAAATTTTAATTTTATAATTTAAATTTTCGTTTTATATATTAATAGTTTATTATATATGCTTATAAATTTTATATGTATATATATTTGAATATTCAAAAATCCTAGTTTAAAATCTAATTTAATATTTTATCATAGCTAAATTGTTCATAGATGAAATTGTTCATAGATCAACCCCAAATATTTGTTAACTCTCCTAATTATACCTATATTACTTTTTGAAATGCTTAAATATCTTTGTTGTTTATTGTCCGATTTTAGTGGAACGTAAAGGTTTTAAATATGGCACAAACACTTTTGAAATACCAAAGATCGACGAGCACACACAGACGGACAGACGGACAGACGGACGGATGCTGAGCTGGTGAAAAATATATATACTTCGACTTCATAGCCATAACATAAATTTGCATGTGTGGATACAAAGGTTAAGGGGGTTTTATTTTATGGGCTCCGGAATGCAGGTTCAAGTTTCGGACTGGTTCGAAGTCAGGCGAAGACCTTAGTAGCTTTGTTAAATATTGTTCATTAGTTTCAAGCTATATTGAATACTAGTAATAATTCTATTGATGTATAAGAAATACATTCGCTCAAAGATATGATATCAGTGTGCAGGCATACTTTACGATCTCGAAAGATGTCGTTGCGCATATCGTGACAATGGTTACAATACATCCACGGCAAGGTTTTGACTTTAACAAGCCAAAGGCCGTTGCCGAACTTTGGCATTTGTGTGTGTTGCTGTGGCACTTGGCATTTTAGTGGCATCCGGCAGCAGCAGCAGCCGTGGCAGCCATTGGCAGCGGCGGCAGCCGTGGAAGACGTGGTAGGCCAGGTGATGCTGTGCACACATTTTCTGTTAATTGAAGTGAACGTTCTCGATTCTTGTCTATGTGTAGACATAGTAACAGAAGCAGTAGGCTAATTGACAACTCAAAATCCATATGTATAGTATAGTTCAATTCGATACCACACAAAACTCGTACCATTGTGGCCTGGACCTAATTCATTTCGTTAAACATGGTAAGAGAGGCAATTGGTTGCCGCTTGCTGCATGCCGCAACTCAATGCCGCACAATTCCTTCCATAGGCTAAAATGTATCTATTTCGCAAATTGTCTGAGCTCAATCAGCAGCAATCGGACGTCTGTGAGGAGGCCATCGCGAGTGTTCTGGATGATGTGCTCAAGGGTAAAACCAGCACAATATTCAACTATGGCAACTGGCCCGATTATGGCACAGCCATAGAGGACGATCGTGCTATCAAATTGGATATGATCGATCGCATTCTAAATAATTTATTTAGCCACGTCTATACCATGGAAGTGACCATGGAAATT